ACATAACACACTATATATACACAACAAATTATATACGAAAAGAAATTACATAACAAAATATATATACATAACATACTATATATACTATATATATATATATATAGATATATACATACACACACTAACATACTATATATACTACAAAATATTACAAGATTTTTCAAAAGGAGGGCCCCACCCCCAATGACCATTGCCAACGGTCATATTGCACAAATAGCCTATTATTTTTTTTTCAATTTACAAAACTAACCTTCTCTAAAACTATAAATACCCCCCTCCCTCTTCTTCATTTCAATACTCAATACTCATTTCTCAATCTAAATTTCTCTCATTCTCTCAATCTCCAATTTTCAAGGCTTCAAGTCTCAATCTCAAATTTCAAGTTAAATCATGCCTCGTTCGGAAAGAGTGCGCTTATTTGTTTCGCAACACTTTGAAGTGCTTGAAGGAAATGAAGAAGGCCAAATATTAAAGTGCAAGAACTGTGGAAGAGTCTTAAATTTTCGTTCAGGGTGTACCACAGGCATTTTAAGGAGGCATATAAAGTATTGTCTTGAGCGTATTTATCCGGAAATTCGTCTTTAAGATTTTCGACAATTTGTGTTATTTTAAAATTATTAGACGTATTTATGCTTAATGTTTTACTTTGTTATTAATTTATATGCATGATAATTTAGTTTTACTATTGTTTTATTATTTTACTTTTTCTTCAAGCACTTTAATAATTAGGTTTCTATATTATATATACTACATATATTTATATAGCCATGTATAAGAGCAATTTATATTAGTATATACATATATGATTTACAAGAAATTGCCTTAAACAAAAAAAATTAAAAAAAAATAGCCCGGAAATAAAAAAGCCCGTTAGGCCCGTATGCGCCCGCGAGCCCGGCCCATGTGGGCTTAGGCCCGTCATGGGCTGGTTCCACCCGTTGAGCCCATGAAGCCCGGGACCGTGAAGCCCGGGACCGCCAGAGCCCGGGACCGCTAAGCCCGGCCCGTTTAGCCCATTTAAGCCCGGGCCCGGCCCAGAATACAGCATTATGTCCGATCCACAAGTGCGCCCACAAAATGACTAGTATGCTGTATGCCCTAGGGGTTGATCACGCTAATTAATAATCCCCTCATAAAATTCTACTTAAGGAAGCACGATATTTGGTTGGTCATATACGCATTACTAGGTAGAGTTTGGTTGGTCACTTTAAAAAGATAATATCCATGTCACCATGTGACTAATCTAATGTTTCATTGGCAGTATTAAACATTATACCGATATAGCATATGATGAATTCAATATATTTATTTTATACAAGATGCGTGAATACAAATATGTGTATTAACAATAAGTGAATAAGAATATCTAAAGACAAAAATATCCTTAAAGTGGTCATACTTGTCATTCTAAGTGTTATTATTCACCGTTTAACATTACTTAGTGCATAGCAAATGCTACTTCTGTCAATGTTTACTAAAGCTTGTTTGGGCGTGCTTCTAAAATTAGTCTATTTTGAAAAGTGCTTTTCAAAAAATAAAAGCAGTTTGTATTTGAATAATTAATTTGAAAAATACTTTTGTGCAACAATTAGTATTTGACCAGACTTTTGAAAAGTTATTCTAAATATATTTTTCAAAAAAGTATTTTTGGGAAGAAACTGTTTTTTCTATTTCTCAAAAACAACTTATGCTTCTACACAAAAGCACCTTTTCCGTTCTAAAAGTTTGGCCAAATACCTTAACTTTGAAAAAACATACTATTAGCCAAAAATAATACAACAACAACATACCCAGTATTATCCCACATCGTGGGGTCTGGGGAGGGTAGTGTGTATGCAGACCTTACCCCTACCTTGTGAGGAGCGGCTCAGGAAAGCATAAGCACCACATTATAAAAATATAGACAAGAAGGGACAGTACCAAAAAGCCATAAAAAAGCAAAATAAAAATAACAAGATATTAAGGTGATCAACAATGAAAGAAAATAACGGTTAGTAATAAAAACCTACTACCAACAGAAAGCGATATACTGCGTGCCAATACTACTGTTATGAACACCCTAGACTACCTACTCTACTACCCTAATCCTCGGCCTCCATACCCTCCTATCAAGGCTCATGTCCTCGGTCAGCTGAAGCTGCCACATGTCTTGCCTAATCACTCTCCCCACCTCTTCTTTGGCCTACCTCTACCTCTCCGTAGGCCCTCCAATGTCAACTTCTCACACCTCCTCACCGGGGCATTTGTGCTCCTCCTCCTCACATGACCAAACCACCTAAGTCGCGCTTCCCGCATCTTGTCCTCAATAGGGGCTACACCCACCTTGTTGCGAATAACCTCATTTCTGATCCTATCTAGCCTGGTGTGCCCGCACATCCATCTCAACATCCTCATCTTTGCTACCTTCATCTTTTAGACATGAGCGATCTTGATTGGCCAACACTCAGCCACATACAACATCGTTGGTCTAACCACAACTCTGTAGAACTTACCTTTAAGTTTCGATGGCACCTTCTTGTCAACAAAACACCGGAAGCGAGTCTCCATTTCATCCATCCTGCCCCAACACGATGTGTGACATCTTCATCAATTTCCCCGCCCCTCTTAATAATAAACCCAGGGTACTTAAAACTTCCTCTACTAGGGATGACCTGCGAGTGTAGTCTTACCTCCCCTTCACATCCTTGAGTCTTGCTACTGAACTTACACTCCAAGTATTCTGCCTTGGTCCTGCTCAACTTGAAACCTTTAGACTCTAGGGTCTGCCTCCATACCTCTAATTGCGCATTCACACCATCTCGTGTCTCGTCAATCAATACAATATCATCTGCAAATAACATGCACCATGGCACCTCCCCTTAGATGTGGCGCGTCAGTACGTCCATCGCCAGAGCAAACAAAAAAGGGTCGAGTGCCGACCCCTGATGCAACCCCATCATAACTAGAAAATGGTCCGAGTCCCCACCTACCGTCCTCACTTGGGTCTTTGCTCCATCATACATGTCCTTAATCAACCTAACGTAGGCAACATGTACATCTCTAGCCTCCAAACTTCTCCACAAAACCTCCATCGGAACTTTATCGTACACCTTTTTTAAGTCGATGAACACCATATGCAAGTCCTTCTTTCTCTCCCTATACTGCTCCATCAATCTCCTAACAAGGTGGATAGCTTCTGTAGTCGAACGCCCCAGTATAAACCCGAACTGGTTCTCAGAAATAGACACACTCCTCTTCACTCTTAGCTCTACCACTCTCTCCCAGACTTTCATAGTATGGCTAAGCAGCTTGATACCCCGATAGCAAAAAATAATACTTTCGGCAAAAAAAAAAAGCACCGCCAAACAAGCTATTATTCATGTTTGACTGAGGGAGGGTAGAACTTTTGGGTTTTTCATGGTGTCAAAGAGTTGAACAATGGTTTTTTCGTGTTGTCAAAGATTTGAACAATGAAAATAAATGGCGAGTGCCTGATCGAATTGATCAGGTCATGTAGGAACAAAGTTCAAGTCTACCGATTTGTTAGGATGCCTCAGCTGCATACATCACTGCACTTCCGCTTGACACCTATCGTATGATAAACGGCTCGTCTCACCACGACCTTCTCTTGAATTCTCAAAAAAACTTCTGTCGCTCCATCCCCGCTGGGGCAGAGAACCCGTCGCTGTCTCGACTGTGCTACCGGAGGCTTTGGGGAAGTCTGAATAGGAGAGCACTCATCTTGGGGTAGGCTTACTACTTAAATGCTTTCAGCAGTTATCCGCTCCGCACCTTGGCTATCTAGCGTTCACCGTGGGCACGATAACTGTGTACACCAGAGGTGCATCCTTCCCGGTCCTCTCATACTAGGGAAAGGTCCTCTCAATGCTATTGAAAAACTAACTTTGATTATTATAAATCTAAAATATTGGGAAATAATAAGGATAAAATAGATATAAAATAATAAATTATCTCTTAACTTTTTTAAATTGGACAAATAAAAATAGATACTACTATTACTTTTTAGTTTAGCGGACAAACAATCATGGACTTTTCTTAGGGAATCAAACAATCCTTAATTGTTGTAAGAATTTATTACTCCCTCCGTACCGATTTATGTAAACTTGTTGACTGCGCACAGAGTTTAAAAAAAAATAAAAGACTTTTAAAATTTGTGGTCCTAAACAAGTTAAAAAGGGGTCCAGATTTAGAAAGTCTTCTTTTTTAAACGGCGCTTCTCATTAAAGGTAAAATTATAAATTTAAACTAAATTATTTTCAAATTTAGAAAGAATCCTTCTTTTTTAAACGGACAAAAAAAAGGAAGAGTACTAAATTTAGAAGGTTGATATGGGTCAAAACTATCACATCATCAAGAAACAAAAGCCGCGCATGCCCCATAATACCCTTTTCAGTTGCATCATACAAACGTATTATCACCGCTACAAAATATCTATTTCTCTCCTTTCAATATCTCTTTTGTTCCCCCCTCCCACATCATCCACACATATTCCCTCTAGGGTTCCGCTAGGGTTTCAACACGATGCAACCCGCAAGTTCAATGGTTCCACCACCAATGGCGGCGGCGCCACAGTACCAACAACAGTGGATGCCTCAGCAGCCTCAACAGGCGCAGCCGGCGTACCAGGTTCCGCCGCCTCAGCAATCCGGTTACTATTATCAGCAACCACCGCCGCAAGGCGGAGCACCACCACCTCAACAACAACAACAATCTCAGTGCACGGCATCCGCGGCTCAGCCGACCAGTGCTGATGAGATCCGTACACTTTGGATTGGAGATCTACAGTTTTGGATGGATGAACAGTACCTATATAACTGCTTCGCGCAAACTGGAGAGGTATTCTATGTGTAATCAAAGCTTGTGAAATTACATTGTTGTCCTCTTTTCGTTATTGTTATTAGTTACAGTACAAGTTAGTATTGACATGTTTATATACTTGCTAATGATTCTGTTCAGATTACGTTAGATATTAAAATAAGTGCTCAATCTGAACTAGCTGGCAGGCTATATGAATGATAAACTTACCTGGACAGGGTGTTTACACCGAGCCAATTAATGCAAGACACATGTCTTTAATGTGAAAAACTACTATACGTTTTATGGGGAAGATTGGATCTTTTTTATATTTTGAGAATTGATAAGTGTTTGCTGTGGTCATATGCTTTTGGATTGATTTCTACTGAGTGTCTTGTATGTTTATTTGAGGAAAGCAAATACTTTGCAGAGCTTTTGGATTGATTTCTACTGAGTGTCTTGTATGTTTATTTGAGGAAAGCAAATACTTTGCAGTAGTATGCAGTAACCTTTTCCCAAAAAAGTTATTTTCAGTAAAATTTTCTCAATAAAGTTCATATACAGTACTAACTTGTATTCTGTTGTTTGGTAAATGGTAGTTAACTTTAAGACAACTTTAAGCAGAGTTTGTTGTGAGCTGTAAAGTAGCACCTTCTTTTCCTCTAATCATGTAACTCGTGTGAGGGAAAATATTCAAGAAAATGCTAGAGGTTTGGGTAGTAATGACTAAAAAGGGCACATCTTTTTTTGATATCCAATTGTTATTAATTTTGTGAAAAGGCTAGTCCATTGGTTCTGATGTCCTTGTATGCTGTTATTGGACAAAAAAATTGAGCTTTAAGTTATTTATATGGTGTTAGTGCTATCATTAGTTGGTATCTTTGATTCAATAGTTGATGAGTTTACTTACTGGTACCAGCCAATGTGGACTCCCTTGGGGAATTGACAGTTACATCTCACCAAAAATTATTTTTGTAAATGTTTTACTACTAAATTGGAGATTTTGAAAATTGGGGGGCTAACACTTTGATATACAACTTGTGCTGCAAATTTGTGCTTGCCTCCCATAGTGGATACCTTTATGTTCATGCTTGTAAGCATATGCAGAAAATGTTTTCTTTGCTATACCGTGCACAGAAGTTTTGCAACTATTAGCAGTTTTCTTATTTCCCCTTTCTCTGCTTTCTCCCCTGTGGTGGTGGTTGGTTGAGAAAGCATTAACTGTTAGCTGGTTATGCAGGTGGTCTCTGCTAAAGTTATTCGTAACAAGCAAACTCAACAATCAGAGGGTTATGGCTTTATTGAGTTTAATAGTCATGCAGCTGCTGAAAGGAATCTACAAGCATACAATGGCACCTTGATGCCTAATATTGAGCAAAATTTTAGGCTCAACTGGGCATCACTCGGTTCGGGTGAAAAGCGTTCAGATAATGGTCCTGAATACACAATATTTGTTGGAGACTTGGCAGCTGATGTCACAGATTACATGCTTCAGGAGACATTCAGGGCCAACTATTCCTCAGTCAAGGGTGCCAAGATTGTAACAGATAGGGCAACTGGACACACAAAGGGTTATGGATTTGTTAGATTCGGGGATGAGAGTGAGCAATTACGTGCTATGACTGAGATGAATGGAAAGTTTTGCTCCACTAGGCCCATGCGCATTGGTCCAGCAGCTAACAAGAAGAGTGCAGGTGGTCAGATGCAAGGTATTTCCATGGCCATGTCATAATGTTCTTGAGTAGTTAACAACAATGCATTTCATCCACCTTGCTTGATACTTGTGTTATTCCTAGAGTTCGAATCTTTGATTTTGTGCTAATTTGTCATAAAGAGCTCGAAGTTTGAATTTAGATAGCTTGAAGATGCTATTGGTTTATTTTGGGATCGCTAGTTCTCCATTTTGGTCCACTCAGCTAAATGGTGTTTGTATGTTTGCTGTCATTTGGTTATGCTCTTGAATTTTTGAAGAGAAGTACCAGCGTGTTATTTCATTTCCTTCAAGTACTAAAAAACTTCTCTTTGAAGTATTAAATCTCATAAAATTCCGGTTGTCTCAAAGCAGGGTAATGGAAGGCTCTATCATTTAGAGCCTGGAGCTTGTTTCAGCTGAACTGATTACCTTTTAGGGCCTGGTGTTGTGTAGGTCAGTCATCTAAATGTGGTTAAATTTCTCTTTACCGGATCCCCTCGGTGTTAACTTTTTACAACTCCAGTTTTTTTTTTTTACTCGGGTCTCGTTCTTCGGATTACTTTGTCTTTACTATTCAGCCATTTTATTCTTGTATATTGATATACTTTAATCAGCCACTAGTGTCAATTTGATTTTCCCTTTACAATACCTCTAAGCATTATCTCGGTCTCAATTGTCAAATTAAGATGTTCTGGTCCTTTATCTACGGATATCTTAAGTTTGCTTCATTTACCTCATGAATTTGTCTTAGAGAAAACCCCTCACGAAGGGGGAGAAGTTTCCTCTCACCATAACAAGCTAATAAGCCATCATTTTGTCTCTTTTGAATACACGATACTTCATATAGTTTCTTTCTGCTGGTGGTTTTTATATTCATGGGCATTCAAGTGTGTATGTATTGTAACATGATATGTAAATATATCAATGTCTCTTCTCTTTTTTTCTGAATAAATCTTTTGAAGCTCATTAGATAAGTTATGACTATTAATTTTTGAATCTCTTTTTTCCTCCTTTGGTCAAGACATTGAGAGCTTTAATAAAGAAATTAAGGATGGTGTTAGGAATATTTTCCAATATCTCTCGATTGCCCGCAATGGTCCTTTGAATTGGTTGTAAACATTGTATTTCAAAAACACCTTTACACCCCAAATTATTGCGTGTTTGACATAAAATCAATGCTGATAATTGAATCTGCGGTGAATGAAGAGATGATTGGCATCTTTGTATCCTTCCTCACATAGTACATCTACGTCGTGTGATTATCCCTCTCTTTTCTAATCTCTGTGGTGTTAGGCAAGCATCTCATACAGTAACCAAGTGAGGTGTTCCACCTTGTAGGGTGCCTTATTCTTCCATATTTTTCTAAGATGTCTTTCTATTTTGCTTTTTTCCCTAAAAGGTCACATTGCGAACAATACTTCTATTGCCGACCAATATTAATCTTCATCTTTATGCATGTTTCTCTTCCATACCATCCCCACTCTTCTCCCAAGCAAATTCAATATATATATATATATATATATATATATATATATATATAATATATACACTAAGTAAGTTGAGTATGTTAGTTTAACTTTCTTATCCAGTATGATCAGTACCTTGTGTCTTGTTTGGTTATTGATGCAGAGTGGAGTACCACTAAGTTGATATCTACAACGAAACCATGTTGTTGAATTATTAGATACTACCTGTACCTTGGTGAACTAATA